TCGATGTCCTGCCATCGGCCCCTGGTCCCCTCTGGTCATTCCTACTTTTTCATACTTATGCCACTGACACTTTATGTGATTTTGCGGATTTTAAACCTTCCATCGAGCTACTTAGTCTTCACTTTTCCTGGTTGTTCCTTGTTCCATTTTCTCCGTTTTTCCTGCCTCCTGTGTTCATGGTCACAGGGTCTCTGTCAGTTCACAGGGGGCTTTAGGGCCGTGCTGAGTGCCGGTAACTTTCCCAGCCCCTTGCTCTGTTGTGCAGACCCAGATTCCTATCCAGCACTGCCTTCCTGGTCCTGGAGGACCTCCGTAACGTGTCCAGGGTACAAGTCCACTAGGTTGGACTATGAGGGGCTGGGGATAGGCCAGGCTGGGCATGGACCCCGGGCCTTGTGCATGCTCGGCAGCCCTTCAGCACTGCGCTGTACCCCCAGGCTCACTTAGTTTTTGCATGTTCAAAAAAGTATTTATTTTGCCTTGTTCTTGAAAAATGTCTTGCTGGGAATAGAACACGAGGTGCGGTCTTCCTTTCACACTCTCCAGACGTCACTCCATGAGTCTCCACCTGCACTCTTCTGCCTAACCCAACCTGTGCCTGACTTCCTCTGAACATCACGTCTTTTTTCGCTAGTTCCCTTGAGTGCTTTTCACTGATTTTCAGTAATTTGATTGGGAGTCTAGTCATGCTTTTCTTGTTCGAGGTTGTCAAGCCTCTGGGCTCTGTGGGTTTGTAGTCGGTCATTACTTCTTGGAATGTGCTCCTCCTGGCCCCCTGGCCCAGGCTGCAGTCCCCGTGGTGAGAGGTCATCCTGCAGCTCTCTGTGCTCCCTTCACTGGCTCTCCTCTCGCTGTGACTTTGGGCGACTGCTGCTGCCATTTCCCCAGTTCTTTCAAGTCTGCCTTCCTCACTGGTTTTTGCTTTTGAAGCTGGTATGTTACCCTGTGCAGCAGTTCAGTTTTCATGACTCCAGCTCTGCATGGCTGACATTCCATGACCCACTGTGGAATCACTGGGATGGACTGGTCCGGTGTCCATGTCACTGGACACCTTTAAGACTTGGCGACACCTTGTTGTCCGTCATGTGAACGTATGCCCTGGGGCTCAAGGGTCACCTCTCAGAGGGGTTTTCTCTTTTCCTGCCTTGGGCTAATTCATCTTGGACTGCTCTGTGTCTATTATTCACCACTCTGCTCTTACGACGGCATGCTCCTTTGGTTTTTCCTAATCTTGGGGTCGTTCCCACTTCAGAGAGACAGAACCTGTAGTTATCCTTTACAGAGGTTTTGCTAGGGATCATATTTGTCTCTTTTGTGAATTAATATAGACCCTGATGTTTCATAAGCACCTAATTATTTTCTATTTGGGGAGCAAATTGCCTCATTTGTGGCCATTGGGAGTGCTCGTCCCTTGGTGTCTTCAAAAGTAGCCTTGCTTCTGGCCAACATCTGATGTTCCAGCTCCATCCTGACTTTTCCTCTTCTAAGACATGGAAGTGGGCATTTTCCCAGAGTGCATGGGAAGAAGTATATTGTGACGGAAGAGGAGAGGCACGTCTTTTTAGGGTCAGGAGGTCAGGAGTTCACTTTTTGCAAGTCAGCATGCCATTCTATTGTAACTAACTTTCCTACAACCTTGGGTTTCATCCACAACTGGGACTTTCTACTATTCCAACATCCAACCAGTGGGTAGCTGCGAAACACAAGAGGCATTAGGTACACAATGACCTGGGTGCACACACGTATTCGCACCGTATCTTCCTGCTCAGAACTGGTCCTCTTGCACACAGTTCACTTGAAGGTTTTGCTTTTTTGTTTCCTTCTGGTACTTGGGATTGAACCCAGGCATGCTCTACCCTTGAACTAACACCCCCAGCACTTTTTTCATTTTGTTTGGGACAGGGACTCACTAAGTTGCCCAGGCTGGTCTTAAACATGCAATCCTCCTGCCTCAGCCTCCTGAGTCACTAGAATTACAAGCATGGGCCACTGCACCTGGCTTGGCTTTTGATTTTAAAGGTGGTCCTGAGCCACTAATCTGATTTTCTGACCCACTGTGAGCCTCCACCTAGATGACCTCCCCACCCAGAGCCTGGTTTTCCTGTCTTTGAAGGTTGGTTCCTTTCTTCATTGGCCCTGTTGGATTTTAGCAATGGTCCATAGTTGCCACTTTCCCCGCCACCCTTGCATATTTGGGAGCAGGGGAATGCTTTTTGACCAAAGGGGTCTTTCCCCTGCTTGCTTGTATTCTGTTCAAATCCTTGGCTAGCCCAAGTAGGGTTCTTATCTCCAGAGGGCTACCTTCCCAAAGGCAGAGCCATATTGGGGTTTATACAAGCATGTTCAGTATTCTCTTTATATATTGTTTTAATATATATATTTTAGTTGTAGTTGGACACAATACATTTATTTTATTTATTTTACGTGGTGCTGAGGATTGAACCTAGAGTTTTGCACGTGCTAGGCGAGCGCTCTGCCAATGAGCCACAACCCCAGCCTTCTCTATATTTTATTTCTAGGCAAACTCCAGTAAATCCAGATTGTTCTCATGTTTTATATCTAAATAAGAGAGCTTTCACAACTCCCATCCCAAAACAAGGAACAGAAAGCATCTGTAGGAGTCCGTAGTGTTTTTTTCCAATAAATGAAAGCCAAATTGGAACTGACCTCGATTTTTTTCTCTTCTTTTTTAAAAAAATTTTTTTTAGTTGTAGATGGACATAATACCTTTATTTACTTATATGTGTGGCTGTGGATTGAACCCGGGGCCTCACACATGCTAAGCAAATACTCTACCTCTGAGCCACAAACCCAGCCCAATTTTTCCTCTTCTGAGCACACCAGCACCAGCTAAAAAGACAGGGTTAAGGGTCCAACCCAGAATCAGAATCTGCTTTGTAACAAGATCCCCAGGGCGTGTCTGTGCATGTGTGGTCCCCGTTGGTGTCATGCTTACAATCTTCTGCCTCAAAGAATTTAAAATATCATGCTGTATAGCTAATGATTTCATAATTCTGATTGAAAAAGTTGTTACTGCAATCACCTGAAACCAATTTTTATGTTAGGTGTGAAGTATATGCTCTAAACTAAGGGGGATGAGTACTGGCACATGCCTTTAATCCCAGCTATTTGGTGGGTACTGAGGCAGGGGAATCACAAGTTCCAGGCCAGCCTGGGCAAGTTAATAAGGCCTTGTCTCAAAAAATAAGAAGGGCTGAGTAATATAGCTCAGTGGTAAAGTACTTAGCGTACATGAGGCCTAGGGTTTGAACCCCAGTACCGCAAACAAACAAGAAAGTTTTGAAAATGAGTGACCAGTTGTCCTGATAGCCTTTATTGGGAGTCCATCATTTTCCCACTGGGGATATGTTAGGTGGGAAAAAAAGAAAAGCAAATTATAAAACTTCAAGTGTAGTATAATGTTACATTTATTAAAAAAAAAAAAAAAAGGGACTGAGCTGGGCTCTGTGGCACAGGCCTGTAATCCCAGCGGCTCAGGAGGCTGAGGCAGGAGGATCCGAGTTCAAAGCCAGCCTCAGCAAAGGCGAGATGCTAAGCAACTCTACGAGCCCCTGTCTCTAAATTAAATACAAAATAGGATTGGGGTTGTGGCTCAGTGGCCGTGTGCCCCTGAGTTCAATCCCTGGTACCACAAAAAAAAAGGGGACGGTTTTTTTAAAAAAAAGAAAAAGGTACTCCAAACTGTGATTGCATGAGCGCAAGATTCAGAGCCTGCGTGGTCCCAGGCCTCTAAATGTCCTAATTCCTATACCACTGAGATGGGGGTTCGATGCTGTAATTATTTTGAGCCTGCAAATGAGTTTCTTAAAATGAGCGCAAACTGGATGATACTGGGTATGCAAAGTGCCCAGATTCGGCGCTCTCGAGGGGCGCGGCCAGGCACCGGACTGGAGAA